CCTTATAACATACAAAGTGAACCAAATTCACTTAAAAAACTTGTCATAGTGAAGAGATTATGAATCGAGAATATACAAATGAGAAAGAACATAGATGTAGTAAGCGGTCTAGGATGACAACCTCTTTTGGGTAAGATTTTCTAACATAATTATTAGAAAATGAACCTAAAAATTATAGAGAGGTTATCTTATCTAACAAAGCTTCATATCGAAAGAAGTTGTTCACGCTAAAATTGAATCTATACTAAAAAATCATATATGAAAATTAGTAGACCTTTCAGCCAACAATAAGTCATTGGGGGTATAAATGAATTTTCAAAAGGAAAATGAAGGCGGATGGATCAATTTACAATATATAAAGTAAGACTTGTCATTAAAGACTAAAACTATATGCTCTACCGGGTAGAAGGAATGGAGTATTGCTGAATGGATGAGACTTGAGATAATGTAGTCCAAATTATGTATTTGTTTGGAAAAGTGTTGGTTAACTGTAATCTATCACTTAATGGAGTTCCATTAATATTAGTACCTTTAGAATTATATAAGATTTGTACATGTAGATCACAAAATGTAGGTTATCTTAGACTTATAATCGACTAAGTAAGTTCTTAGATTTTTCAAATAAATTTGGAACATGAATTTATTAAGAACGAGATGGTATCTCTTTGAGATACACTTGACAATCAAAAAATGTATTTAAGTGAAATTGTGGATGGATATTGGATCACAAGATGTGACACTTGATATTTTTTCTTAGTAACGAAGAAATTTTTGGAGAATATTAAAGAAATTAATATTTTGAGTATTGGTGAATCAATTTAACAACATAGGAGTTGTTAAAACTTCTGATTCAATTGGAAGTAATATGTTCGAGTGGGAGCAATCTAATTCTAGGATTTTTGGTTCAAAAAATTCCTTACTTATATGAGTATAAAGAAAAAAATTTAAGAAAAGTGATGAAAGTATATATAGAGTATAGAATTCCGACCTAATCTGAGATGTTGTGGAAGTTTCAATTGGATATTATGTTTTATTGAGAACATGTAGGTCCTTCAAAACTAAGTGGAAGATTAATGAGTTTATAATAGAAAAAGCTCATATTTTGGAAAAAAAAGGTTATATGAATATATTGAGTTAGATAAACTTTTTTCTTGATAGTGAAATTCATTTCTATACGTCGATGCTAGACATGGTAGTCTATTTAAGTTTAAATTACACAAAATAGACCTACAAACTATATTTTCATTCTCAATTGAGAATTGATTGAAGAGATCTACATGAATTAACTTGTAGGTTTCATGTTGAAGTCTTTATAGTATTATGGTAACTTTATAGCTGCACTTATACCTTAATAAAATCATCTTGATAGTGGTAATTAAGTTCTAACAAGGTTTAAATCTCGTACAAAATTTCATCATGTGGATGAAGATAACTTTATTTATATAAATGTGTGATGGTACGTTGTAATTTAAATTTGATGTTGATGACATTGTATTAGCTAAGCATGAGAATGAATATATTAAGATCATTTTGAAATGGTTGTCCCCAATCTTTGAAACGAATGACAAGTGTTTAACAAATTTTATATTTTGTGTTAAAATAATATTCTAGTCTTCTTTCTTTGTTGCAAGAGTTGTAAATTATAAAGATTTTAAAATATTTATAATTGTAGAATTGCTACCCTGTTGATATTCCAAAATATTGAAATGTGACAGTATAACTTTTCATATATGTCCAAGGATTCCATAAGTATATAAAGAAATATCCAAAAAATATAATATCTATTACAGTTAGGAGTTAGAAGTATGCTACGATATATACTTGCCCTAATATTTATCATACCAATGGATCTAATCAATAGGCATCAATGTTACCATTGGAAAGGATATTGTGATATGCTGTTGTGTTTTATTTGCTGTCAGTGGAATAACTTGTGAATGGAATAAATATGCAAATATTGTCTCTAAGGATAAGTGTTAGTCGAGTACAAATAGTTATTAGACTTGTACACTCTTACTCTATAGATAGCAAAAAGCATATCTTGTAGTGTATATCTTGAAAGCTAAAAAGTTGTTTGGTATAAATGTATTGAGCATTTAATAGTTATACAACTATCTCGTGTGTTGAGTATTTATTATGATGGAATAAAACACTCGATTATATTTCTACAAGAGACATTAGCAAAGAAATGTATCTTTGCGGTATATCTACGTACATTATATGTAATCATCATAATCAAGAAATGTTTAGAGACATACTAGTTGGTAATGTTGAATCTCTAGAATTCCGTAGAATATGTTGACCCCATTAAATTAAAATTCATTTTTCTCTCTCCTCTTATCAATCACACATTTTTCAATAAAATAATTTACACGTAAACCTAAAAACTTTTTCATTTTTTCTATCACACATTCTTCAAAAACTTACTATTCATTTCTGTATAATTTGAAATAATGGAGCCCAAACATGGACTCAAAAAACTTTTTATTGGGCTTTATATGCCTATAGGTAAACAATTTTGAGTTCATGTGTAATTTATTGATGGGATTACGAGATAATAATTTGCGTACACATATAAAGTATGTCGAACAAGTTGAGATTGACTCACTCACACGAGCAATCACCTTAGATGATTTCGAAATGTACCAAGTTGAGACAGTGATCGTTTTATGTACATGATCTGATTTCCTTGATTCAATATCAAGATGAGATTATTGTAAGTAATCAAAATGGATTTTGCTATCCATTAAACCTGTTTAATAGCCATATTGAGTTTTAATTTGAGATTGCCTAAAGGAATAAACGTAAAGAAGTTAGGTATAATTGAATTAGGATTTGTATGGTGCTATTTTTTTTTTTTAATAAGAATATGACATACACCCTAAGAGAACAAGAAAATATTGTAACATGTATTTCATACCACGTATACTTTTACAACCAATAAATATGGGACCTTGAGGTTTATATAACCTCATATAAGCACTTATGACTTTTGAATATTTTCAAGATTTTATTCAATGTTACTACTTTAGCACGTTAACAATAACCATTATTGATGCGATTTGATGGGACATGTCTAAGAAAGTAGCTGCTTTGAAGTTGATGGATTCGAGTAGAAAAGGAAACTACTTTAACAAACATTTATATTTGTATTCATTGGCCGAACAATTATGTTTAACCATTTAAAGTGTAGAACACAATTGTGAATACAATACAATATGGAGTCTAAGTATGTTCCATTAATATTCAAAGGTTGTAAAATATTGAAAAATAAGTTTACTATACGTTCTATGGCATTTACCATAGTTTAAGGCACAACAATTGAAGGATACAGATCATTAGGTTGAAACTCTGAGTTGCTTTGATCCAAGAAAAACTCTCTTTCTAGGAATGCACCTAGGTAGGAACAATTACCAGTTTCAAGTAGACCCTAGAAAAATGGAAAGTAAATGAATAATACCTCCTTGAGGAGTTCGGTGTATTTCTCAATGGTGTGGGATGGTACATTGAACAAAATATATTCTATGAAAGCTTCCCTGGTAGGACTACGGATCCCCACAACAAAAAAGAGTCGAATGGCTAGGCCCATCCATTTGGAGCAAGTTGGAAGGAGCCATGTTTAAGGAAAGAGTCTTCCAACAGTGGTGAAAGGGGTCTTTAAGCCCCATATTTAGTGAATGTTTGTGAATAACTATGCAGCCTGGAAGAGGATGATCTATCGTCTGAAACAGCCTAGGACCTAATAACTTTATATCATTAGGAACGTTGACATAGATCCTAATTTCAACCAAGTCTTGATCAGAATGATTGTTGAAAGTTCTTGAAGCCTCAAAAACATTCCTTATCATTTTCATTAAGATCAATTGGCATATTAGAGGATTGGTCTACCTCTCCATAGCCAATATGTTCTGGGCTAACACACACACACACACCAAAGTTGGTCACACCTTTATAATGGTGCACGTCAATATATAATACTTTTACAGAAGAAAAAGAGATGCTAGAAGTATCACTTCTAGAGCTAGAACTTCCAAAATCATAATCGTCAAATGCACTTTGAAAGTCTATTTGGGAAGACATTGTAGAAAAGATGATGGATAAGGATAAGGAAATAGAAAGTGCTAAGACAAAAATCTTTTAGAGAAATTAGGTAATAAAGTAAAGAATATCAACCAGAGTAATGACATATTTATATATTTTGACATGAGGTACAAGCTGTTAAGACGAGATAGCAATAATTATAACTGTTGAAAATTAATGAATGGCAGATCAAATCATGAGGTAAAAGGCCAAAGTCATCCATAATCCATATGTGCCCAAAAGAGTTATGAGCCATTAACTAGGAAAAATGTAAGTAAGGCCCATCTGCATTCATAAAATGATAGTGGTTGCCAACATGTTACCCATGTCCCCTCGGATGAGCTGGGATGAGCAAGATGAGGTGGATAACCATCAATAGCTTCCCAATCATAGTATTAGGCAACTAAAGTCCTAAATTTAATATAAATAATAAAGTGACCTTGGGGGACTCTTTGTTAATCCTCAAAATGAAGTCCGCGACACTCGGGGGAACGAAGAAACAGAAGTTTCGCCTAAAGTTTACGAATCATTTTTGTATCCAGGCTGGGCTAGAGACCCTCAATAAAGGACATGTGGATAAATGAATAAAGTGTGATTCTCAACCAAAATCTATTAGAAAATAGCTAACAAGTAGTCGTCGTCTGTCATTCTTTCAAAAAAGACTGAACCACCCCCAATGATTGGAGAAAAATCAATAAATACCCTCTCATTTGAAGAAGAAAGCATTCAATTCAAATATCTCCCTCTGAAATTGTTATTTCTCCTCTTGCTCTTGTTTGAGTATCAAAACTAGAGTTTAGGAAGTGAAAATCAT